AAAAAAAAAACACATGTAAAAATGTTCATCATCCCTAATCATCAGGGAAATGCAAGTCAAAACCACTTTGAGATATTCTTGTGTCCCCTATGACCTGAAAAGATAGAGTCAGGCCTCCCGTAAGTGCAATCAATCAGAAATTTATTGAATCTGTACAAGGGACTGCCTTGAAAGACCATTTCATCCCAGTAGTGGGCAAGTTGCCTTATATAATTTTTGTGCAAGCATACTACAGAAGCGAAAGGTGGCTGGTTGGGGGGGAGGTGTTACAGCTTGGGTAGTCATGGATACAGCAATGGTTACAGTTATGTAACAATGATTAATACAGCCTTGGTTGACAATGGATATATCTCAAATCACAATGGTTATAGTTATGTAATCATATTTAATACAGCCTTGGTGGAGTTCCACCATTTTTCATCCACTGAGAACTTGGGGAGTTTTTGTGAAACTTGGGACTTCCCATGCTTCGACTCTGGGGGGCATGGGAACTGGCTGAGAGAGCCCCTAGGGTGGGGGAACAGGATGGAAGAGAGGGCTAGAGGGTGGGGGAAAGGGAGAGGGCAGGGGAAAGAGGGCTAGGAGTGCTTACAGCAATATCATCTAATCCCAGCAAGAATAGCCCACATCACAAAGTCCCAAAGCTACAGACGTAGGCATGGTTATGGAGAGAAAGAAACACTTCTCCACTGTTTGTGGAATTGGAAGCTAATAAAGCCTTTTTGGAAAGAAGTATGGAAAATCCTCAAAGAGATAAAGATAGAACTTCCATTTGATACTGCAATCCCATTACTAGTATCTACCCAGAAGAAAAATAAAATCATTTATCATAAGGACATTTGCAACTGAATAAGTTTATAGCAGCACAATTCATAATTGCAAAAATGTGGAAACAGTTCAAAGTGTTCATCAATTCACAAATAGATAAATAAACTGTGACAGGAGGGGAGAAATGGCTCACATCCATAATTCTAGCACTCTGGGAGGCAGAAGCAGATAGATTGCTTAAGTTCAAGAGTCTGAGACCAGCCTAAGCAAGAGCAAGACACCACCTCTACAAAAAACTAAAAACAAAAAACTGAGTGTTGTGGTGGGTGCCTGTGTTCCCAGATACTTGAGAGGATGAAGCAAGAGGATCTCTTGAGCCCATGACTTTAAGGTTGCTGTGAGCTATGAATTCACAGCACCCTGCCCAAGGTGATAGAGTGAAATTCTGTCTCAAAATAAAAAAGAAAGAAAGAAAGAAATCTGTGATCTATGCATATCATGGGACACTATTCAGCTATAAAGAAAGATTGAGACCTTACATCTTTTTATTTACCTGAAAGGATTTGGAGAACATTCTCCTAAATAAAGTATCACAAGAATGAAAAGGCAATTATCCAGTGTACTCAAAGTTAGTAATAAACTAATAGATGAACAATTTCATGTCTACATAAGAGAAAAACATTTAAATTCAAGAAGAAGGGAGAGGGTAGGGAGTGTGTTAAGTTATCACCTATCAGGTACAATGTAGGGGTATGTGGCATACCTCCTGGGTAAAGGTTCAACTACAACTTGGACTTAAGAAATCCAAGCAATGTAACCTAATTGTATATACACTTATATTAATCTGAAATTTAAAAAGAAAAAAGAAGAAAAAATGAAAAGAAAGTACTCTAAGAAAAGGGAAGAAGGAGGAAAAGGTTTGTTGATTTGGGCAGCAGACAAAATGCAATTCTTTAAATGTGATTTTGTATTTACCTTTAATTGCACTATTCTTAGAGATAACATACAGTAATATTTTGGAATACATATTTCATACACATATTGTTATATTAATTTTATAAGCAGAGAAAATAATAGTGTTCTATTTTTATCTTAGTACAATAACATCATTTTTAATACTTTCATATCATATATCATTAGGTGGTTATAGTATACTGAGTAATATGTGGTTTAAAGAAAGGGACCATTTGGTGGCCAGTAATACAAATTTCACTTTATGCCTTTCTAATTATGTGTTTTGTGGCAAGTTAATAGATTATTCACTGAACTCAGATCATCTACAAAGTTAGGATAACATTATATAAGATATTAAGTTCTTACAAAACTTAAATAAGTGATTTACATAAATTTGATGGTCAATCCTAGCCAAATGGGAAAGCTATATGACTACTGCACATTGTCATCATGTCCTGTTATTACCTTCTGTTTTATATGAGCTTCCTTATTTTAGATCTGCTCATTTCTTCATGTCAGTTGAGATGGCTTATATCTTCTACCTCTCCCTTCAGGTCACGTGCATGCCTGTCACTGACACAGCAATTTTTACACCCTTTTCTTAATAACTTCCAGGGCTATTCCACGTAATTGGACCAAGAGCACCACTCATTGCTGTGCTAGGAGGAGAGGTTGTGTTGTCCTGCCACCTCAGCCCATCCATGGATGCTCAGAACATACAGATGACATGGTACCATGATAATCGGCAACATGTGGTTTATTATTATGGGGATAGTCAAGATAATTTGCAGCAGCAGAGACCAGAGTACCAAGGGAGAACAGAATTCCTGAGTGAGAATATCACCAAGGGTCAGGTGGCCCTGAGGATCCATCCCATCCACCTGTCAGATGAAGGGATGTACAGCTGCTCTTTCGTAAACTCCACACACTCTGACAGAGCACAGTTCAAAGTTGTGGTCACAGGTGAGCCTATGGAATGAAAATTCTGACAATTTGTAGTTTATTATTGTCCAGCCAGCACTCTGAAGTGTTGGAACAGATAGTGGCATATGTGCACAGAGGTGTCTGCATCTATACAAACACTCTAATGGAATGTCAAGAATGATAATTGTATTTACCTTTAATTGCACTGTTGATAAATGATAAATGAGGTGAAATTCATCCAGTCCATTTTTCCAACTTCTCTAAGTTGGAGTAGAAATATATTCATATCTCTTTCCCATGACAACATAATTGCTTCAGGGGAGGTATGAACAGGAAATCCAGTATATCCTAATTCTGAAGAATCGTAGAAACACAACACAGTCTAGAGAGGTCAGCCTCAGTTCCAAAACTTAGAAGCAGCTATACAGAGACAGGAAGAGTCAGATCAGCCATCACCACACCCTTTTTTCCTGCTCCTCATTCCTGTTCATATTGGTGCTCTTGCCCCCACCAAATATGGTCCTGCCTACTCTTGCTGTAACATCCTTGTTTACTAAATCCATGTGTACATTTATGGTCTTAATTCTGCTAATGTTAAGACATTTCTCCCGTATGCCGCCAGGATGAAAGAATAAGGAAGGTTCCTATTTTCTACCATGAACTGAGTGAGCCTGAACCAGCCTCTGTCTACAGATGTCACAGGGCTCTGAATTGAAGCTTAGGTGATGAATTTTTAAATAGACTTTTTTTTTTTATTGGACCTTAAGAGAAACAAAGTCAATTCATCAAAAGGATTTCAATAATATTGACAGAAAGAATAATCCATCTAGGACCTCCTGATCTGTTTGCAAATGTTCCTGCCTCCTATTCAATGACAGTCTCTGAAAGCCAAAGACAAATCCAAAGAGTAGCCTTGTCCATCCTAGGTATTCTGCATAGGACATAGATACCTCTGAGACTCCAACTGACATGATAAAAGTTGGGCATTTACACATGGTTCCTCCCAAATTATCAGAGGCTACTGAAAAGAGACTTGTGGGCAAGTTTTAAATAATTTTTTTGTACTAGAGTTTCTATCAACCAGACATTCATACATCTCCTAATTTAAACTCTACAGTCTCACATAAGAGGGTTTCCTTCCTCTTATCATATTCTTTATTTGTTTGTTTGTTTATAAAAAGCCTTCATCCTTTAACAGGTATGCTGATGTTTCTTATACCAAATATCTTCTCCATTCAAATGAGGCCCATTCTCTTTGGGGCATTTGTTCAGGACCCTCAGAGCCAGATAGGTGAGCCTTCGCTAAGGTTGTGCTTAACCTCAGGACTTATGGGTAATAAAATAAATTGAATGGCATGAGACGAAGGAAAACTTTCCTCTTTTATTCACAAAGAATGTGATAAATCAATAAAAATAGATCAGATTTCTAGAGAGTTCTGTTGAATTTAAATTGGTCTTTAGAAAATACAATCATGGGCAGTGCTTATGGCTCAAGGAGTAGGGCGCCGGCCCCATATGATGGAGGTGGTGGATTCAAACCCAGCCCCAGCCAAAAACCGAAAAAAAAAAAAATAGAAAATACAATCATTTTTCCCTTCAACTCCCTGAGTTCCTGAGATACACCAGGACATCCTTTCAAACTGAAAGAACCCAAGGAGCAAGTGACAACCTAAAGGTTTACTTTGCATTCTTAAGTGATTTGCTCCTCAAGATGAATAATGCTAATTATGGCTAACAACTAATCACTTTATATGGCACCAACCTATGAGTTGAGACAGAAAATTAATTGAGACACTGAGAGATGACATCACCAATTTCACTTTGTTAGAAATTGTCAGCAGGTACTAAACCACCCCTTGGATTCCAGAGTTCTTTCTTCACATCTACCATTCCCCCTCAAATAGTATTTGTATACCTCAATTTTCACAAATAAGATAGTTGAGATCATACAAGGTAATTATTAAGCATAGACTTACTGGCCCATGTGAAATTCTTATAAAATTCTTAAAGACACATCTTTCTCTGCCTTTCTTTGATTTTCCCAGTTTCAGGTATGGCGCCTCATATTCACATTGAACCCACTAACTTCAGAGGCATTAAGCTGACTTGCACATCCATGGGGTGGTACCCAGAGCCTGAGGTGAAATGGAGGGACCTACAAGGACGAGCTTTGGCACCAGACACTGATACAATGACAACAGGAAGAGATGGCCTGGTTCTTGTGGAAACATCTATCACAGTGGGTGAAAATTCAGGAGGACGTGTGTCCTGTTTCATAAGGAACCCAATCCTAAATGTGGAGAAGGAATCACACATTTCCATTGCATGTGAGTTCTCTCCAAAGTTAGTGTCCTGAAGGGTCTCAGTTTACCAAGAAAGTACAACTGGCAAAGACCCATAACTTCTCAAAGACCCATGATACTCTAGTTCATCTATTTCTTAGTCCTATGTAGAGAGCTATAAAATATAGCTATTATCCTGTTTTGTATTCTTCTTTGTGGTGCAGATATGACATTTTACTTTATAAAAATGCATGTGTTGATATGCAAAAGAATTCCAAGGGTAAGAAAGTATTATGTGAAATTGGTCAAAGTTCTTTTTAATCATCCCCTTCACCACTGTTCAGGTAGCACTATGCTTAATAATTTGCAGTTTTCTCTCCCATCTCACAAATGAATTTGAATCCCGGTAGACATTGTCACCTATCAGCTTTGTGATCTTGGATAAATATTGACCTTCCTGTGCCTAGTTCCCACCTGTTAAATAAGAATAATAATAGTGTTTCCCTCATAGGATTGTTATAAAGAATAACTGTTATAACTCATTTCACATGTAGAGAAGAGCTCAGGTACCCATTCTGTGCTCTACAGCTACTCAAAGTGATGGCTGAAAGAAATGAAGCTTGGCTCAAATGCTTTCCTGTAATATCTTAAGTATTTTTATTTAGTCAAGGAGAAGCATTGCAGCCTGCCAGCAAGGATATTCTCTTACCCTTTTTTGTGTCTCCATTTTCATGTTTTTCTACTTTCTCCACTTCTCTTCCCTCCTGTTCTTACCCCACATCCATCTCATAGGTGTAAATAGTCCCTGATGCCATATGAACTGATGTCACATTCTCTCATCTTTTCACAGCTTAGTTTCCCACTGGTCTTTAAAGACTTAACCCAGATTCTGGCTTTACCAGGAATCTACTGCAACCCAGTTATCTCCACAGTATCTCTCCCTACATTGTTTTTAATTATATGTTTTGCTCTCTCCCTAGGTTGAGTATAAGCCCTTTGAGGATATTAGATTATAATTTTATATCCCCATTACTTTCCAAATACCAAATTCTACATAATTTATCATACTGGATCTATAAATGAATGTCTGAAGACCTTTAATCAACAAGAAAAATCTCATTTCTTATGTGTTTTTGTCTGGGAAGTCATATATATTTAAAATAGGCAGTGAGAACGTGATGTTGAAAATGTGGAAGAGAGTAAAGCAGATATCAGGAAAATAGAGTTTCATTTTTAATGACAACATTAGAAAAGCAAAGTAATAGGAGGAAATACTAAATAAATTTACTACTTAGACTCCCATAGTAAAGAAAGGGATTTAGGAATACTTAAGAAGGAATGAAGATTTGGGGTCCAGAGAGGCAAAAATTAATACTCTTCCAGTCATAATAACATAAACCTATTGAAAAT